TCTAGGTCAAATACTTTTTGAGTTACGTGCGACACAAGTTGAAAATTGCAAAATTTTACTAAGTCAAGGGCAATAACTCTGAAAATACTAAAAATATCCAGACGAAAATACCCAGGTGCACAACTAAACATGCTGATCAACATTCCTGTAAAGTTTCATGACTCTAGGTCAAATATTTTTAGAGTTACGTGCGACACAAAAGTTAACGGACGGACGGACGGACGGAAGGACGGACGGACAAGGGTAAATCTAAATGCCCGCCACTAACGTGGGGGCACAAAAACAAGAGGGACATGATGGCCCTGAATTGCTCATCAGAAACAATTGTTTTTCAGTGTTAGAAATTATTTTTCAAATGAACTTGCCTGAAGGCATGTCCAGCTCAACTCCAACTTGCACCTATAGAAAATTATTAGTTTCGACACAGTTGTTTGTTTTTTTGTTTTTTTTTCATAATAAAAAATGGAATCTTTCATAAATGGCCGAATTGCATTGTTACTGTTCATCTGAAAAGTAAAGCATGCCAACTCACGCTACTCATTTTTTCTATTTTCAGCTCTATCGGCTCTTAAAAGGGGCCAATCAAATTAATTTGAGCAAACTTGATAAAAAACCCTCTAAGAATGCTATGGACAAAGTTTTATGATCATCCATCCATCAATTTATTTAGTAAATGTTTAAACATTTTCTATTTTATAGCCCTAGTGGCCCCTAAAAGGGGCCAATCAAATTAATCTAACCAAATTTGATAAAAGACTACCTAAGAATGCTACAGACAAAGTTTGGTGATCATCCATCAAATAGTTCAGTAGATAAAGTTGTTTAAGGTTTTTCTACTTTTAGCTTTAACAGCCCCTAAACGGGACCTATCAAATTAATATGAGCAAAATGATAAAATACTACCTAAAAATACTACAGACAAACTTTGGTGATCATCCATCAATTAGTTCAGTATAAAAAATGTTTAAAGGCTTTTCTATTTTTAGCTCTGTTGACCCCTAAAAGGGGCCAATTGAAATCATATGTGACTGTCACAAGGATGCTACAGACCAAATTTGAGGTAAATTTGTCCAGCAGTCTCAAAGTCGACGCATGAAGACAAACGCCGGAGCATCTCCCTTTGATACGTATAGCTCACATTGACCCTTTGGTTCTGGTGAGCTAAAAATGGATTGTAAATCATGCAATATCAGTTTCGAGGTTCATTATATAGAATAAAATAAATGTCCCACCATAAGTTCATAACATAAATATTGATGAGCAATATTTTAAATATACCTTTTGCTTTTACCATTTCCTTAACAGATGTAGGACAATATGTCCTGTGTAAGTCTCGAAAGTGTTGAAATCCTAGAATATTTAATTTAAAGCTTGTTACAGTAATAAATTTGATCAATATAAATCATATTACTTGTGACTTTTAGATTCTTTCCTAATGGTTATATTACATTTTTTATGTTTTGACTTACAGCGAAAAATATCAACATTAAAATCTATCTTATAGAATAACACTGTCATACATAAAAAATTTTGGCGATATGAAAAGATGCAATATACTACAATTTCCATGTACAACACCTTTTATATAAACAACAAGACTGCCGCCATTGAGGTGATGATGAAAAGATGTGACCTTGACCATAAGGTTGGAATTCAGGTGTTGTGCATGACACGTCATCCAATAATTGTGAACATATGTGCCAAGTAATTTCCAAAATCCTACCATGTTAAGTTTTTACCTCCAAATGTGACCTTGACCTTGAAGGTAGGGCTTCAGGTGTTGTGCATGATATGTTGTCCTGTTATTATGAACATTTGTGCCAAGTCATTTCAAAATCGCTTGATCAATGAAATTTTTTAAGACCAGACATATAATATACCCTATAACAGACCATGTAAAGCTTTGACCTCAAAGTGTGGCATCGACCTTGCAGGTAGGGATCAGGGTTTTACACATGACACATTGTATTATCATTGTGAACATTTGTGCCATATAATTTCAAAATCACTTGATGTATGAAAAAGTTATGGACCAGACACAAAATATACCCTATAACAGACCATATTAAGCTTTGACCTCCAAGTGTGACCTTAACTTTGAAGGTTGGCGTCTGGCTGTTGGGCACTACACCTCGTCTCATTATTGTAGAATAAACATATTTCTTTTAGCTCGATTGCAAAACAAGTTCTTGCAACTTATATTAATCACTTTCAAGTCTGCTCCTTGGAACTAACCAGTATTGGTATCATATGAGAAATCATGGTTGTGGCCCGAGTAGGGCTTGAACCCATGATCCCTGTGTTGAGGGGCAGACAACTTAAAGAAAATTATGAACTGGACATGTAGCACATGAAACACACCATTTCAAATTCTTTTGATGAATGGCTTAGTTATAGGTCAGTATAAAAAGTGTGACAGACGGACAAAGCCCATTTCTATATCAACTGTTTTTCTTTCTGAAAAGGTCAGGGACAATAATTGTGACACAAATACAGACAAACAAAATACATGATGGCCAAAAAAGCATCCACAAAATGTCCTCTCACCGTACAAGGAGCATAAATAACCTTCATTTCTAATAACAAAAGTTTAAGATGTAACAACTACTGTAAACAGATAGATATGTTCAATCTATTGTAAACCATACAATTATACTATTGTCTACAAGTTATTTTATCTAAAAGGAAGAGTTTCTTACGAGATAATGGATTTGTTTTGTTAAAATAACCACATGCCTTAAGTTGGATTTCAATGAGTTATCTTTATGACAATAGCAAATACTGGTGTTTCTATAATGACAGAACTATCATCCAAAATTCATACACAGTTTAAAAGAGTTGAAAGTTTTAATTATTCAAGCAGATAAATCTGACATCAAATGCCGATATATCAGAATTGAATATGAATGCTGTATCTTTAAAACCATCATTACAAATGTACATTTATCACATAAACCACGACGCAGGAGTGTAATAAAGCCATTCAATAACAAGCAATTATCATAGTATTGCAAGCAATCCATAAGTCCCCTACCGGTTAGAACCCCATCAACAATCTGAAGGGCCATTGGCCATTCACTAATGTTTCAATTTTTCTCTATTTTAAGTAAACTTGTTGGAAAAGTTCTTTAAAAGTGATCACAGGAAACAGTTTTTATGAACAGACAGACAGACGGACTAAAGGACACTCTAAAGTTAATATTTGAAACATCCCTGTTACCAAAATATAACATTTTAAAAGCAAAATTCTTAAAGAGGAGATATATCTTGAATTAAAGCTGCAATTTCATAAAAATTTTCAGCTCTTTTTGACTAATCACAAATATTGTTATATTTGCCATGTTTTAAGCCTATTTGTTGCCAAGGCAACTGATATTTTTTCAAAATAGGAAGAACAGATAAGACATGCATAATCTCAAGACTGCTATCTACCCATATGTCAAGTTTCATAAAAATATTTCCAGTACTTTTTGCGTTATCACTGGATCCAGTTTATGTGTAAAATTTGCCATATTTTCAGCCTATTTGTTGCCATAGCAACCAGAATTTTCAACATAGGAAGAAAAGAAAAAGACGTGCATAATCCCAAGACCGCCATCTACCCATATGTCAAGTTTCATAAAAATATTTCCAGTACCTTTTGCGTTATCACTGGATCCAGTTTATGTGTAAAATTTGCCATATTTTCAGCCTATTTGTTGCCATAGCAACCAGAATTTTCAACATAGGAAGAAAAGAAAAAGACGTGCATAATCTCCATACTGCTATCTATCCATATACCAAGTTTCATAAAAATATTTTCAGTACTTTTCAAGTTATCGCGGGATCCAGTTTTGTGGACGGACGGACTGACGGACTGACGGACTGACAGACAGACAGACGGACGGACAGACAGACGGACAGACGGACGGAGGGTAAACCTAAAGTCCCCTCCGGTAAACCGGTAGGGGACTAAAAATGATATTACACTAGTGTAATAACACTTTGACGTGACGTCATTTGCGCTATATATAAACATAGCGTAAAAGCGCGCTAATTGTAGCGTTACACTATAAACGCGTCAATGAAAAATAACTCTTTTTAACAGTTTATCGTTCTTATTTCATATATGTGATAAATAGAATATTATATTCGTGTAGATTCAAAACTAAATTTATTGAACTCGTTGAATAAAACAATATTATGCTCGCAAAATATGATTTTATTCAACTTGTTCAATAAATTTAGTATTAAATCTACACTCATTCAATATCCTCTATTAGTATCCTGAGATAAAATTGTGCAAAGAATCTCAATAATTATGAATGCAAATAAATACATAAAGAAAACCAGTTTTTGTAATTTGCTTATTCATCATTATCCAATATTTTAAGCAAGTACATGTAAAGTAAAGCGAAGATACTGTGAAAAAAAGCCACTTTTGAAAACATTTTTATGGTACTTTTAATGGTCTACCTCATTTTATACTAAGTTAAGTTACTGTGTTTTACAAAGAAATAAATGCTGTATGTTTAACTGGCATAAAGATTTTAGTATTATAGCTGTTGTAAATAAAGACAGGACTGAAATAATTTATACAGTCAAAACAATACAGTCACTGAAAAAAACAAGTAAACATGTAAATGTTTAATAACCAGCAACTTTGTTTGTATGCCATGAAAATAATCTTGTGAATAATACTGATTCTAGTAAAGAGGCTAATACAAAATTTTGTTTTCATATAATTCAAATTAATTCTAATTCTTATTCTTTCTTTAAAAAATAAAAACTTGATGTAAAAAGAAATTATACGTCACAAAATAACCCACGAAAAACCCAAACATTTTTCTATAACATACTGATTCAGTTGCCTAATAGCCTACAAAGATGATTGTGATGTTTTTAAATATACAGTAATCAAAAGTGGCCACAATATTAGTAAATACAGCATTACAGGTTATTTTACAAGTTCTGATTAGTTTGGTGTAAGGAAAACACTTTAAATAAGAGCATTATGTTACGTTTTTTTGATTTCGGTTTGTGAACAGTAGCATGTGAGACTTGCGAAATATCAACTCTGAAAAATGGCCCACCATCTATGAAGGAAAGTTCCGGGTCACCTGCCAAGTCACACTGGACATGCACTGTGTCAAAAATTAGTCAAAAATTATTTCAGTATTTTTTTAATTAAAGATTTTACAAAGAAATAGATTATAAAAACTCCTACATCTGCATTATTATACTTTAATCCTAAAATACTATTAAGTCTTTCATGGATGAAATAGAGAGCATTACTTAAAGCCTTACATAATGTATCAATGGACTTTACTTGAACCATGTGATCTTCAAATATAATCATTATTTTATCAAATATTATCAACTTAGCCTTGTTATTATTTTCTGAGTGTAAAAATCACTACCAAATCCATATTGTACTTAAGATAACTTTGTCATTAATTATTCTTGTATGTGTTATGACTCCAACATATTTCAGATGCTTTTTTTAAATTATGTATCATCAAGTGCCTAATCACTTTCTATATCATAATTATAGAAAACAACACTGAAAAGTATTTCTCGAAAACTGAATGTTGCAACACTAATAAACCTAGAATATTTTAGGATCTTTAAAGTTTACAACATTAAATTGACAACAACAACAACAACAACAAAGTGGTAAACAATAACTATCATGCTTTGGATTGCAGTGCATTTCAAGTTTTGTGTTATACATTTATTTTTTTCATTTGTTGCACACCATACCCTATATGTTCATTAGATAACAATTTTTTTTTCTTTCAGAAGATAGGTGACAATTGCTACAATATCTGATTTGTTTTCTAAGTCAAATTTAAAAAAAATCTATATTTGAGCTGCGCCATGACAAAACCAACATGATGCCTTTGCGACCAGCATGGTTCCAGACCAGCTGCAGACTGATCAAGATCCTCTTACAAGTTGAGAAACTGATAGCGGATCATGATCAGACGATATATAATTTTGATTCTAACTCACTTCACACTATTCCATTATCAAACAGATAAGGCAATCAAGTGCATTATTATATAGTACATTTATAATTATGCACAGTATAAAAAACGAAAAGT